CGCTGAAATTAAGCCGGTTCCAACTGATTGTTAGTTGCGGCTAATTCCAGAATCCCATTCGGGGTGGGTTGGGGTTTTTGTCTTCCTCTCTCGTTCGGTGTGTTTGTGTGTTTGTGGTGTGTGTCTGTGCTGTGTGTGTTGTGCCGTCCGTTCGTCTCCCTCTCCTCCGCCGAGCTTGGAGCGTGGCCCGTCCTGTCCTGCTCGACCAGCCTGGCCCGAGACACACAAAATGTCCTGGCCTGGTTGAGCGTCGCGATGGGGAGTTTTTGAACAGTAATCGCAGAGCGTTGGAGGGCCGCGCGGTGCTTGTATCTGCTACCGCTTCGGCCCAAACCTTTCTCGGACCCGCCCGCTGCCTCCCTTTTTTTCCCAACCCTCCTTGGTTGGGTATTCGTTTTGAATAGAGCAGTGTGGTCGCGTCTCTCCTCCTGCCTCCCGCCTCTTCCTGTCTTGCTTGCGGGGGGCTGCGATCTGTGAAACTGTCGCCACTTTCGAGGCCTGCTGGGGGGCCCAGCACAGTGAGGGCCACGGGCGGACCCAAATTAGACCTCGCCATCCCTGGGGGGCTGCGATCTGCGAAACTGTCGCCATTTTCGAAGCCTGCTGGGGGGCCCAGCACAGTGAGGGCCACGGGCGGACCCAAATTAGACCTCGCCATCCCTGGGGGGCTGCGATCTGTGAAACTGTCGCCACTTTCGAGGCCTGCTGGGGGGCCCAGCACAGTGAGGGCCACGCGCGGATTCAAATTAGACCTCGCCATCCCTGGGGGGCTGCGATCTGCGAAACTGTCGCCATTTTCGAGGCCTGCTGGGGGGCCCAGCACAGTGAGGGCCACGCGCGGATTCAAATTAGACCTCGCCATCCCTGGGGGGCTGCGATCTGCGAAACTGTCGCCATTTTCGAGGCCTGCTGGGGGGCCCAGCACAGTGAGGGCCACGCGCGGATTCAAATTAGACCTCGCCATCCCTGGGGGGCTGCGATGCTCTGCGAAACTGTCGCCATTTCGAGGCCTGCTGGGGGGCCCAGCACAGTGAGGGCCACGCGCGGATTCAAATTAGACCTCGCCATCCCTGGGGGGCTGCGATCTGCGAAACTGTCGCCACTTTCGAGGCCTGCTGGGGGGCCCAACACAGTGAGGGCCACGCGCGGATTCAAATTAGACCTCGCCATCCCTGGGGGGCTGCGATCTGTGAAACTGTCGCCACTTTCGAGGCCTGCTGGGGGGCCCAGCACAGTGAGGGCCACGGGCGATTCAAATTAGATCTCGCCATCCTGGGGGGGGCTGCGATCTGCGAAACTGTCGCCATTTCGAGGCCTGCTTGGTGGGCCCAGCATCCCACGCGGCGGACCCAAATTAGACCTCGCCATCCCTGGGGGGCTGCGATCTGTGAAACTGTCGCCACTTTCGAGGCCTGCTGGGGGGCCCAGCACAGTGAGGGCCACGCGCGGATTCAAATTAGACCTCGCCATCCCTGGGGGGCTGCGATCTGCGAAACTGTCGCCATTTTCGAGGCCTGCTGGGGGGCCCAGCACAGTGAGGGCCACGCGCGGATTCAAATTAGACCTCGCCATCCTGGGGGGCTGCGATCTGCGAAACTGCCGCCATTTTCGAGGCCTGCTGGGGGGCCCAGCACAGTGAGGGCCACGGGCAGATTCAAATGAGACCTCGCCATCCCTGCGGGGCTGCGATCTGTGAACCTGTCGCCACTTTCGAGGCCTGCTGTGATCCCCGTTTTCGAAGTGGCTAGGAGTGCTCAGGAATTGTAAATCATCAGCTTTATCAAGCCCTTTTCCTGTAGCCAGTGTCCTGCGAGTCTCCCGAATTCCGTCTGCAGACATATGTAACCCTCGCTCCGTCATCGCCCCCTTATAAAGTATCCTAAACTATTTGCGCCCCGCTTTTGCGCAGGGGTTGGGTACGTCGCCAGGGTAATTATGTTTCTCTCTTCCTCTATCGTTCGGTGTGTTTGTGTGTTTGTGGTGTGTGTCTGTGCTGTGTGTGTTGTGCCGTCCGTTCGTCTCCCTCTTCTCCGCCGAGCTTGGAGCGTGGCCCGTCCTGTCCTGCTCGACCGGGCCTGGTTGAGCGTCGCGATGATGATGTTGCTGATGATGATGTTGATGATGATGATGGTTATGTTCATGATGATGTTGCTGATGATGCTTGTGACGACGTAATGACGGTGGTGGTGGTGCCGACGACGACGACAACGATGATGATGATGATGATGATGATGATGATGATGATGATGATGATGAGCTTGATGGAGATTATGACGGTGATGATGGTGAGGATGATGATGATGAGACTGCGAATGAGGATGAGGATGAGGACGAGGGTGCTGATGCGGATGATGATGCTGATGTTGACGAAGACGATGATATTGATGATGATGCTGCTGATGTTGATGATGACAGTGTTGCTGCTGCTGGTGATGATGTTGAGGATGAGGATGATGGTCATGGTGGTGGTGATGATGTTGTTGTGGATGATGATGATGATGATGATGATGATGATGATGAAAATGCTGCTGCTGATGATGATAGTTTGGTAAAAGGAGCATGGGACGCAGGGATGCAGGCGGGGGATGATTATGTTGGTGTTGATGATGGGCATCATCGTGGTGATGATGATGGTACTGATGATGATGCTGATGATGCTGATGATGATTGTGACGTCGACGACGATTATGATGATGGTGATGTTGATTATGATGCTGATGCTGTTACTGCTGCTGTTGTTGATGATGATGGCGATGATGATGGTGATGATGATGATGATGATGATAACGACGATGATGATGAGGATGATGCTGGTGATGATCATGATCCTGATGATGACACGATGATTGAGGATAATGATGATGAGGATGAGGATGAGGATGAGGATGAGGATGAGGATGAGGATGAGGATGGTGATGGTGACGGTGATGACGATGGTGATGATGATGTTGCTGATGATGCTGATGGTGATGATGATGACGACGATGATGCTGATGATGATGCTGTTGTTGCTGCTGATGATGGTGTTGCTGCTGCTGCTGATGATAATGATGATCATGGTGAGGAGAAGTAGGAGGAGGATGAGGAGGAGGATGAGGATGCGGATGATAATGATAATGATAATGAGGAGGAGGAGGATGAGGATGATGAGGATGATGGGGGTGATGAGGATGATGAGCGTGATGATGATGATGAAGATGATGAAGATGAGGATGATGATGCTGATGATGATGACGATGACGGTGACGATGACCATGACAATGATGATGATGATGCTGATTATGATGCTGATGCTGATGCTGATGCTGATGCTGATGATGATGATGATGATGATGATGATGATGATGATGATGCTGATGATGATGATGATAATGAGGAGGAGGAGGAGAAGGATGGGGAGAAGGGAGCATGGGAAGGCGGGATGCAGGCGGGGAGGAGGGGCAGAAGTGAGCAGGGAGGGAGGGAGGGAGGGCGCTGCGAGCTTGCCAAAGCCGTGAGAACAGCGCGCATTCGAACGTGGTGATTAGCATCTAGTTCTTCTTTTTCGGACAGGAGTGCTGTATGCAGCATTCCTTGCCTTCTTCCTTCAGGAGGAGGAGGAGGAGGAGGAGGAGGAGGAGCAGGAGGAGGAGGAGGAGGAGGAGGAGAGGAGGGGTGACGGGTAGGAGAGTGGACGAAGGAGAGGAGGAGGAGAAGGAGAGGAGGGATAGAAGAAGGATGAGGGAGGAGGATGAGGAGAATGAGGAGGAGGAGGAGAGGGAGGAGGATGAGGGGCAGGAGAAGGGGAGTGTGGGAAGAGGATGAGGAGGAGGAGGAGGAGGAGGAGGAGGAAGGAGGGGAGGAGAGGGGAGGAGGGGGAGGAGGAGGGAGGAGGAGGAGGGGGAGTGAACGATGGTTCGATGGGGACCAGGCTCGCCAGACCCAGCCAGCGCCCCGCAGTCATTGCCATCCCACCCTGCGAGGCACATTCGGCGAGCTCGTGATGTTCGCAGGTGAGCGTGGGACGATGACGGTAGCGTTAAGTCGGGTGTGTCCCTCTAAAGGGGGAATATTTTAAAATAGTAAAGCAGCGTCTGGGGACTATTTGTTGATTATTTTTTACCTATTTGGGGTACGTATTTTCCGGAGTATTTTTCGTTTTTCGCCCAACATTCGCCTGTAGGGGGAGACGCCCGACCTAACGGTAACTCCGCGAAGCAGGTCTTCGCGAGGTTCTCCACTTGTGATCGTTCTCTTATTCATTGTGATGCCGATCGGCGCGGGCCCTCGCATCCCCCGCCTCCCCCCCTGGAGTGGATCTGGGCTTTTGTTTGGCGCCTGTTTCGAGCAGGTGTAGCCTCCCCCGTAGCACGCACTGCTGCAAACAGTCGCACTTGGCAGAGGTCCAGAGCCAGACCCCCCCCTCCCTCCTCCCTTCCGCCCAAGGTCGAAACGCCAAATAAGAAAACGTTGACCTTTCCTGTTCCCAGCGGGACACTCCTGGTCCGGCAAAGCTGCACCTCGAAATGAGGCCGAGCGCCACTCCTGTGAGCACGCGTTCGCCCCGTCCGGTGTGTCCTGGCCAGGGTGTTCGCGACAAGGATGATACCAGAACGCCATTGAGGCCGTGGCTGCCCCTGCCAGTGGGCTCCGCCGGGGGAAGAGGTCGGGCGGGAGGACGGCGAGGAGGACGGGAAGTAGGAAGGAGGAGGAGGAGGAAGAAGAGGAGGAGGAGGAGGAGAATGAGGAGGAGGAAGAGGAAGAGGAGGGGGATGAGGAGGAAGAGCAGAAGGCAGGAGAAGTCTGACTCCTCCTCTCCCTTTCCTCCTCCTCCTCCTCCTCCTCCTCCTTCTCCCCCCCCTCCTCCTCCCCCTCCTCCCCCTCCTCCCCCTCCTCCCCCTCTCCCTCCTCCTCCTGCCCCTCGTCCGTCCTCTCTCCCCCCTCTCTCCTCCTTCCGCCCCGCCTGTCCTCTCTCCCCCTCCGGGCGCTCCGAGGGGGGCGCCGAAGCGCCGCCCGGCGAGGTCCACGTGGGCCCCTTCGACGCCATGGCGTTCCCGTTCTGGGAGGCGCCCGCACGCGCGCCGTGCGCGCGCGGGGGGCGGGCGGCCTGTGGGGCCAGCCGGGCCGGCGCAGGACGGGAGGGGGGGAAGGGGGGAGGGAGAGGGCAGGGGGAAGGAGAGGAGGTGAGGGGTGAGGGGGGAAGGGGGGGGGGGGGGAAGAGCGGAGTGGGAGGGATGGGCAGGCGCAGGAAGGGAGGGGGGAGTGGAGTGGGGGAGGGGGGAGAGAGCAGGGGAGAGGAGGAGAGAGGAGGGGAGGGGGGAAGGGGGGAGGAGGCGCGGGCATGGTTTGGTCTCATTCTAGGCGCGGCGTCCTCTTGCTGCTGCTCGCCCTTTTCTCTTCCTAGATCCCTCGTCCCACCTCTCCCGCAGCACCTTCTACCTCCTAACTCATCATATTTCCTACCTCCTCCTGCCTCCTCTTTTTTCGGCGTCTTCTCCGTCGTCGTCGTGGTCGTCTTCTTCTCATTGTAATCATTATGATTATGATGATTGTCGTTATCATCGTGCTTCGTATTGTTGTCATGGTGAGTATGATTGGTATCAGTATTGCTACTGTTGTTTGTGTTGATGTTGTTGATGGTGATGATGGTGGTGTTGGTGTTGGTGGTGGTGTTGTTGAACTTTCATTTCTGAAGAATTATTATTGTTGATCCCCCCTCACCGGTGCATACTGTTTTTTCTAAATCAAAGTGTGCCCCTCGACGCTCGCACCCTGTTTTTTGTCAGGGAAAGTCTTAGTGCTCAAACTGGGCCCCTGGCCCCCCAGATTACAACAACAACGGCTCCTGCCTGAGACTTCCTCCAAATTTACTCAGGACCCCCGCTCCTGAGACTTCCTCACAATTTACTCAGGATCGGTGCTCCCGCCTGTGACGTCCTCGCAATTTAGTCAGGACCCCCGCTCCCATCTGAGATTTCCTCACAATTTACTCAGGAACGGCGCTCCCGCTTGAGATTTCCGCGCAATCGAATCCAGACTTCCTCGCAATTTAATCAAGACCCCCGCTCCCGCCAGAGAACCCTTCACTTATGATTCAGGAGTTGCGCTCTCGCTTGTGACTTCCATGCTATTCATTCAGAAAACGCGCTTTCGACTCTCAGGAAACACGCTGCACCAAGGACGCCGTTACAATTTACTTAATAATCGCGCTCTCGCCATACTCAGGCATCCCGCTTGAATGTCCCACCCGCCCGACCCGCCCGTCAGGGGATCGCCCGCCCGTCGTGGGCTCCCGCCCGACACTTCCTTCAGGAACGGCGCTTTCGCCTAGGACTTCTTCGAACGTTCACGCTCTTACCTTCCTGCTCCTCCTCCCTCTCCCTCCTCCCTTCTCCCTCCTCTCCTCCCTTCTGTCTCCCTCCTCTCTTCCCTTATCCTTATGCCTCTCTGCCCTATCCCCTCTCCCTCCTCTCCCTCCCTTCTCCCTCCCTTCTCCCTCCCCTCTCCTGCCTCCTCCCTCCCTCTTATTTTGTTTTTTTGTTTCTCTCTCTCTATGTTTTTTTTGTTCCTCTCGCTCTCTCTCTCTGCCTCTAATCAACCGCCCCCCTCTTCGCTCCTTCTCTCCTGGCGTTTTCCTCTTCCTTGATCCCTCCCCCTCCCTTCCTCCCACTCTCCGTCGCTCTCCCCCTCCTCTTTCTGCAGGGCCCACACCAATTCCAATGGCGGGCACATGTACGCCCACGAATGATTGTCCGCCCGTTCAGGTTTGCCCGCCTGTCTAAGCCCGCCGCCCCCCGCAAAGAGAAATAATCCCCCAAAGGGAGTGTGACCGAAGACAAACAGGGCGGGTATCGAGGGTGTGGGGAATTCGTTTTGAATAACACGCGGACAAGTAAGAGCGAACAGTCTTATAGTGATTGTTGTTGCTGTGGTTTGGGCATTCCCAATATCCGTATCAGTATCATTCGTTGTATTCGTGGTTCACGGTTTCGGCGATCATTTTGATTAGTACTGTTATGTGTATTGTTAGTGTTGTGCTATTGATATGAGCATTATGGCGAATAGTTTGTGGTTGATGCCATAATGAACCTGTCTAAAGTAGTATCATCGGAGGTGAGGGGGTGAAATCGAAGTGGAACGGAGAGCCCCCCTACCGGGAAATCGATTTCGGTTTCGTGTTCGTGCGTGCCGTGCGTGCGGGCGAGGCGAAGCTGCGTGGGCGGGCGAGAGAAAGTCTCCTGTGGCTCAGGCGCGGCCGGACCAAATTTCCCTTCCGGGCGGCCGGGGGCCCGCGGTGTCCCGCCGGTGTCCCGCTGGTGTCCCCTGTGGCTGAGGCGCGGCCGGACCAAATGTCTCCCTTCCGGGCGGCCGGGGCCCCGCGGTGTCCCGCCGGTGTCCCGCTGGTGTCCCGTGTGGCTGAGGCGCGGCCGGACGAAATGATTCCCGTCCGGGCGGCCGGGGCCCCGCGGTGTCCCGCCGGTGTCCCGCTGGACGATGTTGATGTTTTGTTTTGATGACCGATAGTGAGATCGGTATTGATATCGATTGTGAGATCGAACGTGAGATCGAGGGTCAGATGGTTTGTGAGATCGTTTGTAAGATCGATTGTGATACCAAATGTGAGATCGATAATGAGATCGATAGTGAGATCGACTGTGAGACCGAATGGGATATCGATTGTGAGATCGATTGTGATATCGATCGTGAAATCGATAGTGAGACCGAATGTGAGATCGACTGTGGATTCTATTGTGAGATCGATAGTCAGATCGATTGTGAGATCGATCGATTGGGTTAGTAGTGATAGCACTATCGGTAATGAGATCGGTAGTGATTTCGATAGTGAGATCGATAATGAGACCGAATGTGAGATCGATTGTGAGTTCCGTTGTGATATCGATAGTGAGATCGATCGTGAGATCGATAATGAGATCGAAAGTGCATTCGATAGTGTGATCGATAGTGAGGCCGAATGCGAGATCGATTGTGAGATAGATTGTGATATCGATCGTGATATCGATAGTGAGACCGAATGTGGGATCGATAGTGAGATCGATAGTGAGTTTGATAGTGAGATCGATCGTCAGATCGAATGCGAGATCGATTGTGATATCGATTGTGAAATCAATAGCGAGACCGAATGTGAGATCGATTGTGGGATCGATTGTGAGATTGACTGTGAGATCGATAGTCAGATCGATTGTGAGATCTATCCATTGAGATCGATTGTGAGATCGGTAGTGAGTTCGATAGTGAGATCAATCGAGTGCGACGTTGGTCCCTCCCCCCCCCCGCACCTCCTTATCACCCGAAGGGTGGTCTATGCGGTATGATCAGGCTGCTTCGCAATCTGGGTTTCATTAGTCTTTTTCGTATTATTATTACCATTAATATTATTATTCTGTTTATTGCTTCAATCACTAATATCACTTCTCTTATCGTATTATTCGATGTGTGCTGCTGTGTCAGATGTGATTGTTATCTACGTATTACCAGTATTAATCGGAAGTGAGGGGGTGAGATCGAAGTGGAACGGAGAGCCCCCCTACCGGGAAATCGATTTCGGTTTCGTGTTCGTGCGTGCCGTGCGTGCGAGGCGAAGCTGCGTGGGCGGGCGAGAGAAAATCTCCTGTGGCTCAGGCGCGGCCGGACCAAATGTCTCCCTTCCGGGCGGCCGGGGCCCCGCGGTGTCCCGCCGGTGTCCCGCTGGTGTCCCCTGTGGCTGAGGCGCGGCCGGACCAAATGTCTCCCTTCCGGGCGGCCGGGGCCCCGCGGTGTCCCGCCGGTGTCCCGCTGGTGTCCCGTCGGTGTCCCGCGGTGTCCCGCGGTGTCCCGCGGTGTCCCGCGGTGCCCCGCCGGTATCCCGCGGTGTCCCGCGAGGATGATGATGATGATGATGATGATGATGATGATGATGATGATGATGATGATGATGATGATGATGATGATGATGATGATATGATGATGATGATGATGATGATGATGATGAGATGATGATGATGATGATGATGATGATGATGATGATGATGATGATGATGATGATGATGATATGTGTCCCGATGATGATGATGATGTTGATGATGGTGTCGATGATGATGATAGTGTCCCGATGATGAGGATGATGATGCTCATGATGATTATGTTGATGATGATGACGATGATGGTGTCCCGATGATGATGATGATGATGATGATGATGATGATGATCCGATGATGTTGGTGATGATGATGTTGATGGAAATGGTGTCCCGGCGATAATGATGTTGATGATGATGATGTTGATGATGATTATGGTGTCCCGATGATGATGCTGATGATGATGATGGTGATGATGATCATGGTGATGCTGATGGTGTCCCGATGATGATAATAATGAGAATGACGATGTTGATGATGATGTTGCTCATGATGATGATGGTGCCCCAATGATGATGATGATGATGTTGATGATGATGATGATGATGATGTTGATGATGATGATGTCGATGATGATGATGATGATGCGATGATCATGATGATGATGGTGTTCCGAGGATATGACGATGTTGATGATAATGTTGATGATGAGAACGATGGTGATCATGATGGTGTCCCGATTATGATGATGATTATGATGATGCTGCTGATGATGATGACGATGACTGTGTCCCGATGATGATGATGATGATTGTCCCGATGATGATGATGCTGACGTTGATGATGATGTTTATGATGATGATGATGATGATGATGATGATGATGATGATGATGACGGTGCCCTCATGATGATGACGATGTTGGTGATGATGTTGATGTTGATGATGTTGATGATGATGATGATGATGATGATGATGATGATGATGACGTTGATTGTGAGAGCGATTGTGATATCGATAGTGAGATCGATATTGAGACCGAATGTGAGATCGATTGTGTGATCGATTGTGAGATCGATTGTGAGATCAATTGTGAGATCGATCGAATGAGATAGATCGAGTGAGATCGATTGTGAGATCGATCGAGTGAGATCGATCGAGCGAGAC